GAGAGAGAGAGAGAGAGAGAGAGAGAGAGAGAGAGACATGAGCGATCCAAGATTGGTTGTCACTTACCTATAAGGCGAGACGGCGGAGTCCGGTGGTGAAGGAAGACGGCGGCCATAGCCGCATAGTATTGACACAGAGTACCGAAGGAGAGAAAAGAAGGAGAGAGGAAGGAGGAGATTGAAGAAGAAAGACAGACATAGCTGGGGGTGAAAGGTGAAGGAAGGGGAAGAAGACGGCAAGGGTGACAAAGGTGATAGTGCCGGCAGCCAAAGCCAAGGTTGAGGGTTGACCGGGCGTTGACCAGAGCGTTGACCAAGGGTTGACCAGAGGGTTGACCAGGCGTTGACCAAGGGTTGACCAGAGGGTTGACCAGGCGTTGATCGAGGGTGTTGACCAAGTGTTGACTCGGAGTTGCCCACGTTGACCAGGCGTTGACCGACGGTGTTGACCAAGTGTTGACTCGGAGTTGCCCACGTTGACCAGGCGTTGACCAAGGCGTTGACCGGAGTTGCTGCTAACCAAGATTTTGACCAAGCTGGAATTGGTGATATCTCGCTGAGYCCTTAGCCTATCCCCTTACCCTGTGGATGTGCACTTACCCCACGGTACTTGCTGAGTTGTCTGTCTACTCTTTCTGCATTGAGTATCTTCTGTCTTAGCTTACCCCACGGTACTTGCTGAGTTGTCTGTCTACTCTTTCTGCATTGAGTATCTTCTGTCTTAGGTGCTAGGACTCTGTGTATGAAGAATAGGGCCTTGCTGCCAAACCCACACGAGCTTAGTAGGAMTCCTACTCTGAGACTTGAGGACCTGGGCATGAGCGGCGAGCGCTCGTTAAACAACTCGTCTAGCCCMATGACCGGTACTGACCGGCAGGTTTTCAATATCAGTTTAGTGGGTCTGAACTHTGAGCTGTGGGCTGAAACGAAGGCCGTCGTTAAGTATTGAGGCCTGGTTGAGCCACTCCCCTACCGGACCTAGTAAGGCTGATGGTCTGTGTCTGACGACTCGACTGTCCCGAGGGATACGAACCCCTCCAAGGACCGGTACAGACCGGCGGGCTGCTCGGTGTGGCAGAGTAGGCTGGACGGGCTGAGTTGTGGGCTGAAATCGCCAGAGGAACCAAGCTGATCGCGTCGTCCTGTCTGCGACGTTAAAGAATTCTTGCGAAGTTGGGGGATCTTCTAAAATACCTCCTGATCAGCTTTTGGTTCTGTAGTGACAGCCTTAGAGTAGTCTTGGGTTAGTGGCCTGTGGTCCTTAGGGAGTCAGTCAGTACGTTAGAGTGTCTGGGTAGATCTACGTGGTGAGGAGTGGGACCCBTGTCGTGCACCAACACCACGATGGATGACTATCCGATGTATGGGGTACTTGTTGGGTTCTCCCTCTGGGGGACCCTCTGGCGTCTCCTCTTTCCTCTGGGCTTTTGGCCCACTTTCACGTGTAGAGTATGGCCCACTCGCGGTGGGACTTCCACCACCCCCTACACGAAGGAGGAGGAGGAGAAGATGGCCGCCCTTCTGCAGGAGAAGAAGGAGAAGAAGGAGGCCAAGAAGAAGGCCTTGAAGGAGGAGCAGGCGGCCAAATTAAAGAAGATGGAAGAAGAGATGGCCAGGGAGA